ATAAATGGTTGAACGTGTGCGCAAAAAAAAAAAAAAAAAAAAAAAAGAAAAAAGAAAAAAGAAAGAAGAAAAAAGGGAGAAAAAAAACGAAAATAACACCGCGTTGACGTTTTCCCTGTAATTTTAAACATATGCACCGTGTTGGATTACATCCAGCAAACCGAGTTATAGTTGCACATCGTGGTCGCTCGCTCGATTCGAAATAGAATGACTCATAGACAAAGACCTTGTTCTAATTCAAAAACGAAACACGGAAAAGCTGTGGACCGTGTCCGAGTCACTTCGCGGATTTTACGAGACACGTTACGCTCCCGGTTTATTTCTGCACGGGCAGAATTTCAGAAAGGTGTTAAATACCGTGACGGATACGATAGAGCGGCCATTTTCTTGCGTGCGGAAAATTGATACCGTGGCGCGCAATTCTCGTTTTCCCAATTTTACCAGAATTTAATATCTCTTTTTTTTTCTTTTTTTTTCTTTTATATTCTTACTCAAATAGAATTCGAAATATATATAGAAGAGAATTCTGCAATATTTATTGGATATATATATATATATACTTCTTTCCAAACATATTTAACACGAGACATTATTAAATGAAAAAAGTAAAAAAGAATAAACACTCAAACAATTGCGAATAAACGAAATTTCGCGTTTCCGAAATAAAACGCACGATAAAAAAAAAAAAGATCAAGACATTCAAATCGAATTGTCTGAAGAAAGTAAAGAGCGTGATCGAGAGGGAAGTAAGTATCGCCTGTTTTCCAAACGAGCGACGATAATCGAGGATCAGGGTGTAATCGAGGTATCATAAGTGGCGTGGGCAATTAGTATTCTCGTACAGCCATCGTCAGCAGGCTTGGATCCGCCGTTCTAAAGACCCGTTTCGCGACTCTATCTCGTCTCGAGAAACTAATTCGACGAAAACCATAAGAACGGACGTTTGGCTACATCCCACGGCATTAAGGGTGTTCTCACGCGCGTATCTCCCGAGGAGGGGGAGTGTCGTGGCGAGAGGGGGGCGAGTCAGCGGGTTTCCGAGTCGTCGTCGCCTGGAAATAGCTTTGGCAACGAGAGAAGACGCGCGGTGCCGTCTTGCTTCATAAAATGGGAGATCGCTAACGTGTTGCTTTTTCAAACCCCTCTCCTTCTCCTTCTCCTTCTTCTCCTCCTCCTCTTCCTTCTTCTTCTTCTTCTTCTTCTTCTTCTTCTTCTTCTTCTTCGTCGACGTCGCGCCTCGTTCCGCCTCTCGTCCTGCACACCGGCTAATATAGATCATAGCGCTAACGATTCCTATTAGAGTTGTCGTTTGCCTCGTAATAACCGAGACTTTGTCGAATTTGTCGAATTTGGCTGGTGGTCGAGGGACGTTTTCTTCACGTTTCTTGATTTAGAGATTGGATTCCCGTCGCGTATATTTATTTAAGAATTGCGTGATTTTTCTTTTCATATCAATATTCCGTTTATTATTATCGTAACGATCGAGGTATTACTTTTACGATTTTTCCATATTCTCGAGTGATAAAATTTTTTTTTAATTTGTTAAATAATGTTGGAACGATTCGACCCGAAGTCAAGTCGAAAATTCGAAAAGTGTGTTGGAAAGATCGATGATACTGGGTATAATTATCTTTTCGATGATCGAATCACAAGTTGATGTTATTGATGATTGATAGTTTGAATCGAGTTAAATCGGGGGTTACAATCGATTCTATGGAAAGGAATCGAATTAAGATTGACTAAAAGATTTAAAATAATGCATCTTCTCTCGTTATTATTCGGATATTCCATGCTCAACGTTTCTGAATCCCGTCTCTTACGGGAAAGGGAAGTTAAGGGATAATTAATCACCATGCTGCAGGTAATTAATTAATGTTCAATTTAATGGAAGGGTTGTAATTAGTCGAAACGCAAAACGAAATTTATAGAATGTATTTACGTAAGAAATAATTAGGTGCGCCCTCCTGGATAATGTAGTAATTGATTCGCATCCATTCACCCACGCGCGTTTTAAAAAATGATGAAAATGAATAAGGATTAATCCGATTCGTGAATTCGTGAATTTCAATTCTCGAATAATTATTTTCTTACGGTTGTTTCGTTATTGGATTCTTCATTAAAATAATTCGTTTTGTTTCACTCTTCAAGATGAGTTTCTTTCTTTCTTTTTTTTTTTTAAATTTCGAAATTAAAAAAAATGAAATTTTTATCAATCCACTTTCTTAGCTTCGAACATTCTCAAGTCAATGTGTGTTTCATCACATCCTCATCGTCATCAATCGTATCCTCGAATTATACAAAAATCGTCCAAGACAATCGAAGGATTAAGAAAATTATTTCGTTCGCGAAAATTCTTGTTTACCTTCGTTCATTATGCGAAACGCGATTTCGAGTTATTTTTCATCAGCTCGAAACGAACTTCATCCCTCTTTCATGGGGTATGTCCAGATGGGTCGTGCGAGATTTTTTTTTTTTTTTTATTCTGGACGCGTGCGCGTTGCAAAAACACGGGATTTCGTTAAGTATCACTATTTTGAAACTGTACATCCATTAAAAACATCGTGTACAATGGTCCAAAATCCGTAGATTCTCGTTGTCCATTCTCAGTCCACCGTGATTCTCCTCTTCCTCCTTTTTCCTCTTTCCTTTTTTTTTTTTCTTTCCTTTTTTTCTCTAGTAATTAACTCGAAAATGCTAACACCGTGGAATATGATGAGCATAACGGTATCGTAAAGTCGGCATTTTTTTAATTTCTTTCCCGTTTTTTTTTTTTTTCACTCTCTTTTTAAATCGTGTATTATCTTCCACACATCCCCCGCTTGTTTAAAATTTTTAGATATCGGGATAATTTTACGTGTATTAATCGAATGCATCGTTTGATAATGAGAGAGAGAAGTCGAGAAGGAAAAGAGAAATGTCAAATCTTCGATGGATATTAATCAATTTAACCCTTTCTTTTCACCATAGAAGAAAGAAATTATCTACATAAATAAAAAATGAGATATAGAGATATAATAGCAAAAAAGATTAATTATCAAGCCTTTGATAGATCTCTTTCAAATTAACTTAATCTTTTAAATTAAGTTTGAACCGAATAATTTCTAATTAACGTTTGATAAAAAGCAAAAAGTCCCCTATATTCTTTTGAAAGACAAGAGTTGTAACGCAAGGATAATTATAACGGTGATCTCTTTTTCTCTTTATTTCGTAACGTTCGATACACAACGTGGCGCGGCCTGTTTGTATTCCTTTCCGCTTCCGTCCATAGTTTGATCGTGTTTGATCGAATGGAAAGGGAAACTATAGAGAGTGAAATGGGACAGAATATGGTAAAAAGGAAATAACTTTATCGAACGCGTTTTAGAAATTTATCGGGATAGCGAAATTCGTTATTGGTGTTGATTGAATGAAAAAGAAAAAAAAAAAAGAAAAATGGAAAATTGTCACAAATTATAAATGTTATTTAATAATATATATTATACGGTTTCTTGAGTATAATTTGGAGGACACATTTTTCTCAAGCACGTTCGAACGAATTTGTTATTTAATCGAGGAGAATGCTGGTAGATTAATCGTGGTCGATGACGGTTCTGCTAGTGATCGTTTATAATGGGTATCCGATAGATCGAAAGTTTGCCGTATCAATCTGTCTTAACCACGTGCTCGACATGATTAGGCTAATGATTAATCTCCATCACGATTCATAAATGTTTTCGTAATTTCACGTCTAACGTGTGTATCGAGTATAAACTAATTATTATTAAGAAAATTAAATTAAAATCAAGATTTGTAAAATTTGTTTGTAAAATTTTTATTCAAATTTAATTCGATAATTCTTCTCCCCCCTCGATCCATTAATTCTCAAAATTCACGATACAATCTTTAAAGCTTTTAAAATTTAAAACTGCTTACTCTGAAAAAAACAATTCGAAAACAATGAATACGTAAAGCATCCCCTAAAGCTCTTCGTCTTCATCGTATTCGATCGAATGGAAATTTTCGAAATTTCGACTCGAATCGAAGTAATGCGAGGAACACCTGATATAAAAATTTCTCTTCTAACGCGCGCGAAGCGAAGCAAGCAAGCAAAATCTCCCACGAGGCAAAATCACGACAGTCGTCTCATTATCCACCTCTTCCCTCCCTCCTTCCCTCCAATATCCCCCTATCAACATGAAAAAATTATAAACAGGGACAAAAGAGAGAGAGAGGGTGAGGAAGAAGCCCCCAAGGGGGTGGAAGCGGCGAGATCGGGCCACGTTACGCAAAGGCCACGTGTCGAGCTCGGTAATTCCAATAGGAGCCGCTGCTCTCTTTTTATATCCAGTTTCTTTTCCAGCGCTTCGTTAACCTTGCGAGCTTGCGACACGGGCAACAGGCGGTTTCCTCCGCCGCTTCGTTAGACACCGGGGTATGGATGAATGCGCGGAATAATTGAAAGAGAGAGGGAGGGGGGAAGGGGAGGGGGTGCTTTAATGCGAATTCTTAATTACGATCCTATGAATACACGCGTTGGTATTGTGCACCAACGGTGGATGTCATTGAGGGAAAGAGAGAGAGAGAGAGAGAGAGAGAGAGAGAAAAAGGAAAGGGAAGAGGAGGAGGAGGGAAAGAAAGAAAGGCGAGACCTGGTTTCTCCTCGTTGAAGTTTCACCACCCGGGGGTGTCTCGACACCTCCGAAGGATATTTATATAACCCAATTTTCGAACCGGTTCCGCGATGGTAAATAGCGGGGGCTGTGTGTAGGCCACCCTGTCCCTTTCATCCCCCTGTTGTTCGAAAATATTTGCCCGGACAAACACAACCAGACGGTTTCCCATTAACCGGTGTTACCGACGAATCGGAGTGGGGAGAGTGAAAGAAAAAAAAAAGAAGAAGAAGGAAGAAAGGAAAAAGAAAGAAAGAAAGAAAGAAAAAAGAAAGGAAGAAAGGGATAGAAAAAAAGGGAGAATGAAAAAAAAGTGGAACTGATATTTTTTTTTCTCTCTCTCTCTTTCAGCCGGAAAGCTTACGGCGCGTTGCAGTGGGAATTTTAAACTGCTGCCCCGGCTGCCCGTTCGAGTGGGCTGGACTTTAGAGCTGGAGGATATACATGGTGAAAGTTTTGGTGAGTGATCATTGAATTTTTCTCTCTCACTCTCTCTTCCTCTCCTCTTTTTGCCCAACGTATTTTGAAATATAATAGTAATGTTTGTAATCTTTCCATCCTTTCGTTTATTTATTTATTTATTTTTCGAAGATAGAGAATAAATGTATAATTTTCGATTTGTTTAGTTTCCTCGGTATTCCTTATATACGAATCTTTTTCTATCTAGAATTTTAATAGAATCACTTATTTATTATTCCTCCAAACGAGTGTATTCTTATACCTAGGAATACTAAGGAAACAAAAGACACTTTTCACTCCTCTTCCCCCCCTGTAAATATTCACAGCCCGTTAATTTCTCGATCGATACATAAAAATTGGCGGTGTCGAACACTTCTCCCCAGCAACGTTTCAACGAGCAATAATCCCCCTCGCCCGAGAACAACCTCCCTCCTTTCTTATTCTGAATTTCCATTCCTCGTTGCCCGCAATTTCCCTGTTCCCCGCGCCACGTTTCTTAACTCGCTCGCCTCCTCGTGCAAGAAAAGCGAGGGGAGGGGGGAAAGGAGAAGGCTGGCAAAGCGCGCGGCCTTCCTGTTTACGTGCAAATTTCACGCGTGCACATCCCCCTTTATTCCAAAGTGCGGGTCGCTTGCGGTTGAAATGCGTGCCACGGAAACGTTGATACACTTTTGCGAGCGAGCAAGCGTTGAGTACGACGAGTACGAGTGTTGGTGTGGGGAACACGCCCAATTCTCCCCGTCCTCTCCATCTAGAACCCCTCCCCTCTCTCCCCCCTCTTAATGTTGCACAATGCAGCGGCACCGGCCTCGCGGTGAATTTCGCGACACGAGCTCTCCCGAGTGTATATCGGCGGCAAACGAACCGTTTCCAACGAATGTTTCAAAATTACGAATAAAGCTAAGCGTTGCTTCGAACGAGGGTTTACCCAGCCGTGGAAAGGTGGCGCGCAACTTTGCCCCACATCGTTGAATCCAGGTTCTAGGGAATTTTAGGGATTAGGGGAATTGGATGCTGGTTGGATAAGCAGATCGTTCTTGCCGTTTCGATCCCTGAAAGAGAGAGTTTCACGGAGTTTTCGAGTTTTCGAAACATCGTGTTTCTTTATTATTTGGTAAATTGTAAATCGTAAGTTGGGGTGCTAAAATTGGGAGGGGGGGTATTTTTGATCTCGCGAAAAGAAATAGATTTTTTAGATTCGTTAAAATTAGGCAGATGATTATTATTCGTTTCTTTTGATGTACGAGAGAATAACGTTTCAATCTTATAACGTATAACGTATGTGTATATTATATGAGGAAAAAAAGAGAAAGATTAGAGATATAAGTATAGCGATAATTGTTGATAAGAAATCGTTGATAAGAAGGAAAAATTTGGTAAACGAGAGACGAGTTTACCATGATCTGTCTGTATTTTTTACAAATTTAATCAACGAATCATAACCGGTCCTCGATCGAGAAGTGGCGCGCGAATTAATGCGAATAAATATTAAACGAGCGGTATCCTCGTTTCTTCACAGCCCGTAGGACACATCCGGAATATTATGAATATTCATTAAGGTATAAGCGGTGATAAAAATCGAGCCGAGTATGAAAATGAAAAATTACCCCTCGTATAAATATGGATGCCTGTGTTAATTGTTTGGCCGGGAAGGAAGCGGGAAGAAGAACACGCGTGCGAGATCGTGATTCGCTTCTTTTTTCTTTTTCTTTTTTTATTTTATTTTATTTCATCTTTTCTTTTTTTTTCTCATTTTCTCTAGATAGTTTTTATCGAGATTTTCCGCGTGCCAAAGCTAGCGGAAAACAGCACTTTCGCCGATGGAAAATTCATTTGCATAACGTGGATCGATTGGCGTGGAAAATAAAATTAATCCTTTTCAAATATTGATCGTCCACGAACATTTGGAAATATTTCCACCTGTGAAATTCATTCCTCGATCTATCAATCTCAAACATTTAAAATAATAACCGATCTCAAATCTCTATAATCCTCGATCGACTCGAAACACTTTCAAAACAATCAATTATTTCACCAAATGTAATTCGACCGTTTTATCTTTGAAGATTCTTTATCCCATACAAAGCTCGAATCAAATCCAAAAAAAAAAAAAATCTTAACACCAACGACTTAGTATCCAACTTGTTTCTCGAAACAATAACCGATCTCTATAATCCTCGATCTGCCTGTTTCGAAACACTTTCAAACAAATTTTATCCTCGAAGAAGGCTTCCTAGGTATCCCATACGGAATAATACTCTTAAAAAAAAATCTTAGCAACTAACCAACAACTTAGCATCCGATCGTTCGAAATCATGAGATCATCTTCGCCCAAACAAACTCCAACAAACACCTTCAAACTTGCACCGATTCTCGAATTCTCGAATCCTCTATATAATTCCGAGGATCCATCGGAATCCTGGAAAGAAGAGTGGCGATAAGGAAAAATAATATCGGTTTCAAACAGCCGACAAAGGAAACGAAATTCTATACCGTCCGTGGAAAAATCGGTCCGTGTTCCCGAATCGCCGTGAATCGAGTTATCGTTAGCCCGATGGGTAATGGCTATTCGTCAGCTAGCGCGGAATTGCTTCTCGAAAATGGAGTGGTTGGTTATAACGCGTTATATCGGGTCTAGGCGCGATTTGAAAGTCAAATACCCGCGTGGAAGACGAAAGGGGTTCGTTCCACCGGCACCGTTTCAATCAGGCAGACAGGAAGAGAAGGGGGAGGAGAGAGAAGAGAGAGAGAGAGAGTGAGGGATGGAGGAACCCCCGCGAGATCTCAAGACATTTCGTGGCGCGATATCTACTGCTCCTACGTAGACCGCAGACTTCATCCGATTAACGCCGACCCGGCTCCTGTAAATGCGACCGCCTTGCCAAATTGCCTTATATCCTCACTTAATTAAATTCTAATCGACGCCTCTTCCTTCCGACGCTCGCTTTTTGCGTAAAATGCAAATTTTCTTCCCATTTTTTCTTCTCCTTTGATCAATCTTTGTTAAGTATTACGATTCATAAGCAATCTTGTACTTTGTATAGTTTGATTTTGATTTTGATATTCGAATGAAGTTTTAAGTAATTTTCAAACGACCCTTCGTATCGTATCGAGTTTCTTCTTCGTTTTTTCTTTTTCTTTTCTTTTTTTTTCACTAGGATTTTGTAGCCAGTTTTCTTGGTAACAAACCTTTAGAAAAATAAGATGTTTCTCGTCTTAAGTTGGAACAAAGGAAATCGATGTTTTTCCTTTAAGAGTTTTATACTTTATAAAAGTTGTGCACCCTTGTGTCTGAGTACGTGCATTTTTGTTTCTCAATTTTTTATTTTCGGAAAAAATATATTATTACCTCGGATACCTTTCATTTTCATCGATATATTCATTATAAAATCCTCGATAATAATTATTCTACGCTTCCTCTTCTCCATTGTCTCGAACGAAGGAAAAGTTCTCCTTGAATAAAAATGGAAAATAAAAGTCCTAATTTCAGTTTTCTGTGTGCAACACTCCGTTCTTTTTTTTTTTTTTTTTTGTTCAACTCTCCACGCATGTTTCTCGCCCCTCGATTCCAAGTCTAGGAGAATTCGATTCGAAGCTCGAATCGTGTCTCCTTTCGACGAATCCTTCGGCGTATCATTTGTTTAATTGCAATCACAAATCGATACATCGTTCTCACCTCTCTCCCCCTAGGATCGATGTTGATTTTTAATTCGAAGGGATCGTGGCCTCGTTGTTTGAGTTGCAATCGAATTGCAAGCGAAAGGGTGATTGCAATCGCGCATCGGGGTGTACATTTATCATAAGATTCCTTTCTCGTTATCGCGGAAGAAAAACGGAAAGTTTGAGAAGAAAGGGGAGGGAAAACTACGTTCGATCAATTTTCTCTTTTTTTTCTTCCTTTTGTTCCCTGAATTTACTTAACTCGAACGGAAATTTTAACCTTCTTTTCGTAATTCCTCGAATCATCGATAACACTTTTACAAGATTTTTAAAAATTTTTATTTTCCTCATCACGATTTAACGAACGAACGTTTAAAATTTCGAACGGCAAGGGATAAGAGATCGAATCCAGAAGAATCTGGAAGAAAAGATTCCCCGTGATTAACCTATATAATAACCCTCCTCCTTTTAAAAAGAAGAACCAAACGCTCCTCCTCCAGTTCCTCCAAATTTCATCCGTGTCTAACCGACCCTGAAACAACATCCCCCACCCTCCTCCTCCCTATATATATATATATATATATATATATATCCAACCGCCGAACTTTCCCTCCTAAAGTTTCCAAGTTCGATTACAAATCCGGATTGTCGAAAAACACCGAACTAATTTCCGACGAATCGAAAATTCAGTAACGTTAAGGGCGAGGTGGAAAACACGATGCTTGGGGAGGAGCTATCGCGTAATCGATTCTCGAGGGGAGGGGAGGAAGGTGAAAAGTGGTGGGAAGAGCGTAGGCAAAGTGCTTGGGGTTTCGATTCGCTTTGTTTCCAGGTGGACGGCTCGCGATGAAGGGTGTTCAGGTGGAAACGCAACTCTCTCCCTCTCCCTCTCTCTCCCTCTCTCTCCCTCTCTCTCCCTCTCTGGGCTCCTCGAACGTGATTCGATTTAGCGCATTCCGATTCAAACTTTTTTCCAACGGGGGGGAGGGGTGGAAACCTCTGCCCTAGCATGCCGAGGTGACAACTCGCCGCGAGTAATTTCCGTTTGATTAAGGAACCAGAAGGGGGGAGGAGAGGGACGGCTGGAATCCAATATTCGCGGTGGACTTGGCACGCGTGGAAAAAATTCGCGGGGTGGAGGAAAGGAGAGAAAAAATGGGGATCCTCGACGTGTCCACCCTTCCACCCTTTCTGTTTCTGGGAAGAGAAGGAGGGGGGGCCCTCTCTCTCTCTCTCTAATTAAATTAAATCGGAACTTAATTTCGATGGGAAACGTGTCGGCTTGGAAAAGATTTGTGCGAGTTTGGGGGACGGGATTGCACGTTGCCCGATGATGCACG